GTTTGAAAGGATTTAAACTTTCTCTTGGGTTTATAGTAATGTATATGGTATTTGCAACTTACTGGAGGAGAACGCAGAGGTTTTATATGATCTTGTTTTCTCAGTGGTCCAGCGGGGGCCCGGTCTCCAGCATTCCTTGACATCTGGCTTTGTTGCCAGGAGTGGCAGCATCTCAGCGTGACCCTCCCTCACCCTGCCCTTTTTAGTTAGATCTTTTTAGTTATCTAACCCATTGTAAGACAAGAACTGTGAGGAGCATCATCCCTGATAGGGACAGTAGTCATCTCTTCCCCCCCCATCCTATTTTGAGAATGACCTAAGGTCATGCTTAGACAGGATACTTCCCTGTGTATAGTTAAGATCTAGATACCCCTCCTAGAAAGATAAATGACCACTTTGAGCCACCACTTTATTCCGGTATCTTTGGGGTCCACTTGTTATCTCACACGAGGCTTGGGCAACTTCATCCTGTCTGCAGTGGCCTCTGACCTTTGTGCCATCCTGCTTCCAGCCTTTCCCCGGCATGAGCCTTTGCTTCAGGGAGAGTCTCTTCATTGCCTCCCAAATTAGTGGTCGTACCGTTGGGTCTTAAGCTTTGAGAATCAAGTACAAATCCTGGACTCCCTACACCGTACCCCCACAAAATGAAAAAAGCTTGAGGCACACAGAGCTTGCCCAAAACGGGGTAGCTTCCCAGCCCTTGACGCTCTTCCTGGGCTCTGCCCACTGCTGCCTGGCTGAGACATCTTTGTCCTCATACCTTTTTCTTGCCTCTTTCTCCGTGCTTGGCTCTTCACCCCACCCATCCCATTGTCTAGCCCTGAAGGCTATGCAAGGACTGGCTTCCCTTTGATCTTGGGACACACTCTGTGAATGGGCCTCTCCCACCACATCTGCTCTGTTTGCCCACCTTATAGTAGGCTCCAGGCTCCCACCTCTGATCCCTGTAGCAGCCCAGCCTTCCACGACTGGCGCATCCATTACACACTGTCTGCAGCTTGTCTAGTTGTTAACACAACGTGTCTTGTCTTTTTCAAGCTTGATTACAACTTCTCCAGTGCCAGGACCTGGGCTGAGTCTTCTTTATGTCTCCTACAACCACCTAGCTGAAGATGCTACATAGTAGGTGCTCAAGAAACACATTTTCTGTTGAATTGAAGGGAATAGGCTCCCATAACGAAATGAACTCATTTCAGAAGTTCATTACCAAGTCATGAAAACCTTTTTTTTTTTCATAGATCCTCCTGGACCGAATCCAGCTCTACCTTAATTAGCAAAGCAATTTTCGACACCCTTTCCCAAAAGTGCTTATGCGTCCCTTTGTGTGACTAGAATAGGGGCTGCTGTACCAATTGCTGTCACTACCCAAAATTCAATTTTGAAAATCGAAATCAGTGCCTGCGGCAGTGATGTAGATTTGTATGTATAAAAGTTTAATATGGTAAAGAGAAATTTACTGACGACTGAGCAGGGGAAATGCAAAAGGAGCAAAAATAGAGCTATAAAGGACACTTTGTCAGTTGAACATCTATTTTATTCACATTTAGGGAGCAGTGCTGAATTTTTCATAATGTCCCTACTGCTGCCTTTTTCAAACCCAGCACTACTATTAGTCCTAAAATGTCCGTAATCTCATTATGTGTAAATGCAAAATCAGGTAATTTAAAGCTTGTGTATAAGAATATTTTTGAAAATGCACAGTACATTTAATCAAAATACTGTATCTTTGAAAATGCAGAATGTTTGCGCCAGAATCTGTGAGTGAAGTATAGGCTGTAGGTGTGTGGTGAGGCTTCTGGAGTTAGATAGGTATCTTTGTTAATGTCTTTTTAAGCCATGAGCTAGACCGCATTGTAACGGCTGAGCGTAGCTTGAGTGTGACTGTTGTTCACTGCAGTCAGATTGGCTCCCAGCTCATAGCTGCCTCGTGCATAACAGGGCAAAGTGCTGCGTGGATCTGACCCTGTGACCTCTCAGATTTTCCACTGACCGACTTGTGGACTAGACCACCATTCCTTTTTCCTAATCCATCTTAGTCTGGAAACAGTGCTAAAACCTGTTCAGCATCAAAGCAACATTCAAGCCTCCACTGACAGGTGATTGTGCACCAACTACATTGACTGGGAACTGAACTCGGGTCCCTTGCATGGAAGGTGAGAGTTTTACCAGTAAACTACCACCATCACCTTGAATGAGAGCAGCCCAACCCAGCCCACTGCTATCAGATTTGTTTCAGCACATAGCTGTTCTGTAGGTCAGAGTGGGGCTGCCCGAGGGGGTTTCCAAGGCTCTAAAGCTTTAGGAAGCAGACAGTTTGATTTTTCTCCTGAGGAGCAGGTGGTTGGTTTGAACTACCGACTTTCTGGTTAGCAGCTAAATGTTTTAACTACTGTACCACCAGAGCTCCCTGAGTGTGACTGCTTGTTAGGTACCATCGAGTCAAGTACAGTTCAGCGAACCTGTGAACAACAGATCTGAACCCTGACCCATCCTGGGCCATCTTCATCTGACAGAGTTGAGCCCATTGCTACATTCACTGTGTCAGTCCCTCTCGTCCAAGGGTCTTTTTTTGCTGACCACCCACCTTTCCAGGAAACCCAAAATTGGCCATGATTCTAGTTCCAGAAGCAGTAAGAGGTCTAAGAGGTTGGCTAGAAAGTTGGCAAGCGCCAGATTCTCATCACTTCTGTACCTACCACTTCAACTGCTTTTACAGCCTCATATCTGTGTTCCTGACTTCAAATGGGAAATGGGGTGACAAACCAATTTTTTAGGGCTTAGAGTTATTTGGTTTCTTCTTCGATTATTTGAACTCCAGGCAATATGTAAAGTATCCATGAGACTGTGTTTTTGACACTGGGATTTTTAAGAGGTCAGTGGAGCCCAGCGAATCCCCTCTGTCTGCCCCCTTCTGCCCAGCTGCCCTGTCAGAAGATGGGACAAGATAGGAAGGAAGAATGGCCCCCTCCTCATGCACTTGAGGTTGTGGTGGGAGGTCGCTGAGCAGCCTCTGATCTTTCTGTCCGAGTGTTTGCCTGTTCAGGAAACGTCGTCTAAGTGAGATCATCTAGTAATCGTCCTTTTATGTCTGACTTCTTTGACTCAGCATCATGTTTTGGTATCTGGTCCATGTTGTAGCATGCATGAGAGTCCTATTTCCTTTATGGCTGAATGATACCCCACTGCATTGGTAGAACATAATTTATTCATCTCTTAACCTGTTGGTGGACACTTGGGAGTTTTCCACCCCTTGGAATGTGGGCATAATGCAGCACTGAACATTGGGATACAAGTAATCTGTTTGAGTCCCTGCCTTCCTGTCTTAGGGACATTGTCCATCATGCATGCTTTCCATAGTGGCTGGACCCTTTTACATTCCCACCAGCCATGGGCAAGGCCCTTAAACGAATTTATAAGCTCACAGGTCTGCACAGGTATGGAGAGAACAAGGAAAGGAAGAAATACGCAACTGCCTTATGATAATCTCAATAATAATCTTTCAGACTCTGCCAGCATTATTCTTCTCTCTCCCTTGCGCTGTGTACGTTCTGTTCTCTTTGTTGATTCTTGGTGATGGATGCCCAAGGAAGGAACAATGTTTGAATGCTTTGCTCCAAATATGTGCTTCAGAACCCACTTCCAGCTGGACTTTTCCTGAAGAGCTGACTGACCGTTGGAGTCAGGGCTCAGCTGTGAGCCTCCCGTTTTTCCATCTGCTCTTTCCTGTCCACCTTAGCCTCACTCCACTCAAACAGTGCCTTTTCAAGTCAATGAACAATGGCTTCCATAATTCTTTCTCTTCTGATGTGGCTACCTGGGCAATCCGAGAATGAGTGGCTAGAACCTGGGGACAGATCAGGTAGACCTAAGTGGCAGACCATCCTTTTTGTTTGTTGTAAAATGGAGACCTCATTTTGACTCGCGTATACAGGCAGAAGCAGAGCTGCCTTATTAAAACGCTTAACCACTGACTTATTTATGCTGCCACCTCCTCTGAGAAAGGATTTAAGTTGGAAAAATCCATCATTTGAATTCAGGGGCAAAACAAAAAAGAGATGGTTTTGTTCTGGGTAGTGGCAGAATAATGTAAGGAGCTGTAGATAAATAATAGCTAGAAAGAGGAGAAATTCAAAAGAAAGAGGTCTGCTGGGGAAAAGCCACTTTTCTCTGTGCTCCCTGTCTTCAGGGGCTTCCAGCAGGGGCACCTGGAGTATTTCTTTTCTGCTTACAAGGCCTCCCCCTCGGTGTTCCAAGTCTTGACTCTTCAGGCAAAGCCTGGCTGTCGTCTCCATCTTGGTTCACCTATTTCCTCTTGAAACACAACTTTTTTTCTTTCTTGTAAAATTTCAGCAGCTCCCTCCTTGCCACAGATAAAAGCCCAGATGATTTTTTTTTAAACTATAATAAAAGAGTTTCTTTAATGCATTTCGTTTTGAAGGTCTAACTCAAAGAGCTCGCTCTTTTTCCCCTGGCCCAAGCTCCTCTACCTGTGTTCTCAGCCAGACTGCTCCACTCTGCTGCTCCAACTACCCCTCCACCTAGAAGCGATGGCACCCCTAGAGCCTCGCTTAATCTCACTTCCTTGAGCACACGGGGACCCTCTGAATTCTTGTAGCCCACCCTTGCCTCCAGCATTCCCGAAGCACCGTCCTGTCTGATGTAGACATTTAGGGTATTTTCATCCAGTGGTAGTGTCCAAAGGCAGCTGCAGTGGGGGTTCACAGCCACAGGTGCTCAGCGAAGGTTGGTTTGCAGGTTGATTGATGGAGGTTTCACCAGGTTGGAGAGCTGATGGGGCAGGCAGTTACTCCCAAGTGGGGATTTCTGATGTTGGAAACCTGGGCCTGGCTCTCTTCCTACTGAGCAGAGCCCCCAGTGCTTGCTGCAGGCCTGCTTTCCTTGAATGCCTCATTGACTTTCCGCTCCCTCCTCCAGGTGCACATGGGGTGGGAGCAGGCTGGGCTCATTTGCTCAGGTCTTTGGGGTTCTTTGTTTTTCAGATTGCAGAGCCTGAGACCTGTGATCAGATGTACAAGAGCTTAGCACGACTCCATTCAAACTATTACAAACACAAGGTGAGTGGGCCCGGGTCTTTTACATCTCCAGCCCTCTGACTGAGGACAACCAATAAGAATAAGTGACAGTCTGATTATTCAGTGTTTTGTGAAGAATTACGGGTTTTTTTTACCTTCAAACACAACTAGTAATTTCATCCAAACCAACAAAGGTGCTTGGTAGCAGCTTTTAGGTCACTTAAACAAAAGCTGTTTATGAATATGAATAAAAGCCATCTGTTTTGTATGCTAGCATGTGTTTCTGGAAGGAACTCACAACTCTTGGGCTGTACACATGTGCTAAGTGCTCTTCCATCCATTCCCAGGGGAATGATGCTCTCCCACACTCATGTGACAGATAAGTGATTGAGGAAGGTCCAGTCAGGCTTGTCCTCAAGCCCTGACATGGCTACTGTCAAATTCCTATCCAGTGAGGTTTCTCCCAGACTTAAAAAAAGGTCTCAGTAACTCCATAAATAGGCCAGCTTTGACCTGCATGGGAGACGGATTTCTTCCAAACCCTCAGTTCTCTCAGTGTGGCAGGTGGGCCAGCCATGTGAGCATTCCGTGGGTGGTAGTTAAAAATGCAGGTTCACAGGCTCCACGCAGAAATCTTGAACTTACTGAGGTAACTGAGCCTTCATTTAAGTTGAGCCACAGTCCCTCAGTGAACACGAAGATGGTGCTGGATCTTAGGAGACCGAGTCTCTGGCCTCAAGGTGGCACCACTCCTCTTGTCACACTTCCTGGGCTCTACACTCAGCCCAGGTGGGCTGCAGCCGAAGAGATTGGGAGGTGTGAGGGGTCATCAGACTGTAGAAGTAATCATCCGCTTTCTCTCTTCTCACCCACATGACCAGTACCCACGCCCCAGAGAAACAAGCTTCAGCGGCCTGTCCTTGGAAGAGTACAAGCTCATTCTGTCCACAGGTATTGAAAACCAGCTGTCCCTTCTGGTTGGTTTGCAAAAGATTCTTCACGTTTGAGCGGTGAAGGGGAATTGTCTAATAGGACAGCTTTGCTTTGATGGGAAGTCTTGTGAACAGTCCAGAGGAATTGGAATAGTCCAATTCTAAAGCTCCAGAGCTCATGCTTTGTGGTCACAGAATGTGAAGAAGGTCGAAGATATTATTTTAAACAGAAAAATCCATCTTTAGTGCTTTTAAATTCAAAGCCAGGCAGCAAAGGACAGGGGAATACATGTCTGCCAAATGGAAGTAGTTGAAATCAGGATGGAAGGAAAATAATTTTATTTTTATGGTCTAGAGGGGGCCTTATAAACAATGAGAGTTTTAATTAAAACAAAAAGACATTCAATAATGGTGTATAGGGATATCCGCCTAGGAGTTATCTGACCCAGGAGACGTGGTCTGTGGGTTAGATAGGGATTGAGCGAGGTGTGTTTGAAGTCACTGGTAGACCCTGATTAACAAGGAAGGAAACACTGCCAAGGCCACCCCCTTCATGCTTCCCCATCTCCATTGTCACTGAAGAGTGGGGGGAGCTAGGGTCAAAGTAGGCAGGTTCTGGAAAATTACTATTTTTACTGCCAAAGATACTGTATACAAAAATAGGCTAACCTTTTCTGGGAGGGCATGGCGCCTTCTGGTGTTCTAGAAATTTCTCTTTCCTGTTCCTCTGACTGCCTTCAGCAACCAGGTTTTGCAAATTTGGCCTTTCAGACAACTCTTTACCTTCCGAGCAGATCAAAACTGGGTGGTGTCACCTGCCAGTGTGTGTCCCTATTTTTATAACAGTTCTATCTGGGAAACTAGGATGAGGTTATTTTGGTCAGGCAGAATTGCTTTGTTTTCAGTTCTTTTTAAAAATGTATAAATTTGCTCGCATGTCCCTGGGCCCATGTCCTTACCAGCATTGGTGCACTGTGTCACTGCTGGGGCCCCAGAGAGTTTGGGTGAAGTTTGAACTTGCAATTAGATTGGAGCTAAGCTCGAAAGGCCCGACCCCGGAGAGGAAACACTCTTGTTGCTCCCCCTCAGCGAGGAGGCGTGGGAGGTGCACGACTCCCCACCATCGGCCCTTGCTGCAGCTTGTTCTGGCTGGGAGTTCAGCTCCAGGAAATTTGCTGATAATTTGTTTTCACAGCCAGTCTCATGTTTTTACTGCCACTGTGTGGAATAAGCTTACCACACATTTCCTCTGACAGGACAAGAGAAGGCCTGCCTCACCTTGTATTGAGAGGATTTAAAGGCCTGGCAAGTCTGAGATGTGTCTGTGGCTGTGTCCCAACTGCTGTCCCCTCTCTGATAAAGGAGGCCTCGAGGCTGGTAGGTGGACAGGAATCCCCAGTCATGTTCTGTGCACAAGGGACCTTTGAGAAGAGACTCAGGACAGGATGCTGGGCTGCTGGCTAAGTTACACTGTGCCTCCTAATTTAGACTGGGAGTCCATTGAGAAGTAACATTATTAATGAATAATGGGAGTTAGGTTTTCCTTTCAGAAAGTATCCTTTTTCTCCAAGTTTTTTGCCAGACTGAAATTCAGGTTATGAAAGCTAAAGGATCTATGTATCTTTGGCATCCAGTATTTCTCAACCAGGAGTGGTTTCTGTCCCGAGTGCACACACATAGGACAATGTCTGGAGACAGTTTTTGATGTTATTAACTGGGGTGGAGATGCTGCTGTTATTTAACAGAAAAGGCCAGAGTACTGCGCCGACACTCTAAAATGCAGACAGCTTCCATAAGGGGAAAGCCAGTAGTATGAAGGCTGAGAAACCCTGCTTTGGTTCCTGTATGTGTTTTCTAAACAAAAGGCTTCACTGGTTCTGGCTGATCCCTCCTTCATAAGGGGAAGGACGTTTATGGTTTCTTGAGTATAGAACAGGTACCAGATATTTTGCCTCCATTTTTTTTTTGTTTGGTTTTTGTCTTTTTTTTTCTTTCTTTTAATAAAGTTTCCAAGGTTATATTTATCTCCATTGTATAGATCGGGAACCGTGGCTCAGGGTTAAGTCACTTGCTAGCGATGCCTCACTGGGGAAATGGTAGGGTGAGGAGGATTCTAGCCCAGACCCAACGTCCTCTCCAGCACCTGCTTCACTCTGAGCAGATGGTGGCTTCACCAGGCTCAGGTCTCAGCTCCAGTGCGACCTCTCTCTTGCTTTGTGATCCAAAGCAAGGTACTTGATCTCTCTGTGCCTCAGGTTCTGAAAAATGGGGCTAGTAAGGTAGTGGGGGCCTACTGAGGCAGGCAGGATAAGTTTTGTGCTAAACCCCGAGCTGCATGGCATGCTCTTGCCCTCTCCTGTGGAGCAGGACAAGAAATGTGCCCTGGTGAGGCAAGGAGGGGGCAGTGAATCCACTCTGCGCATCGTGAATAACGCAGGGACCAGAGAACCTGAGCCATGGCTTTTGTTTTTATTATATGTAATATTACCCTATTTGATCTGCTCTTCAAAGTTCAGCTTACACTTTTTCTAGAACACCCTATGTGTAATGTGAGGCACGCAACCCGTGTAATCAGGTTTCAGACTGAGATTCTTCTTTTTTCCTGGATTTTCCTTTTTTGCAGAGGCCTTGGAAGAATTTAAGGAAATGAATAAAGGCATGTGGAAGAAACTGCAGGAGAAGTTTGCCCCCCAGAATCCCGAGGACATGCACAAGGCCTGGGCCCGGTCCTTATCTCGCCCACGTACATGAGTGTGGTTGCTTGTATGTTGTCATCATAAATAAAACTGTCAGTTCTCCCCTGGACTCACAGTTTGAGAATGTCATCTGGCCATCACAAAAGGAAGAAGCCCTTATTATTGGAAGGAAGGTTTCAGCCTGAGAAGGGAGCCATCTGAGCTATCAACAGGGCCCATGCCAGGGCGGGGAAGGCTCCTTGGGAGGGGAGATGTCTCTCTCTGGGTAAGGTGCTTCCTGCACGACCACAGGAGCCCCAACTCACCAGCAAGGTCTCGCATCTCAGCAGGACTCTCAAGCTCCCTTTTGTAGGAGCTCTTGGGGCCGGAGGGGATGGAAAAGGCATCCCTTTGCAAGCAGAGAGATGAAACAGCCTGCCTGGCCCTCGGCCTCACTGATGGAGAGGAGGTAGCTCAGGCCCCATCCCAACCAAACCCGTATTCCAGGTTCACTGAAGGACCAGTGAAGGCACAGACCGGCCTGAGACGGGGCCTCACGTTGTAGTGGGCTTCAGCTCTGTGATTACAGTCTGGGGAGGTCCAGGGACAGAGGTCCTCTCCAGCTGGTCCCCTTATTCCATGGCGCTCTGGCTAGTAAACTTTCTTCTGTCTAGAACAGAGCCCGGAGCAGGGGCAGGACAGGGCGGACAACCTCTCAGTGATGAGAATGGATTGATTTTTAACCTTATTTTTGTCTAGACTCCTTAGAATAACTTTAAATGCATAAAATATCTTTAAAATGGAGACCAATTTCACTGAAATGCAGTTCTGATCCAGGGACAGGGTATCGTTGGCATCTCTGGAGAACCCAAAGTTTGTTTTTCTGTTCGGGTACCTTCTTAAACCCCACTCCTGAAAATCTGTGTGTATATAGAGGGTGGTTGTTCAGGAAACAGCATCCCTTCTTAATGAACTAGATTTCTATTAATTTATTTAAGGCAATTACCATATTAGTTCTCAGGCCAAAGGATTTGTAAAACATTACACCAAAAGAAGAAATGAAAAAAACAAAAACCAGCTGCTCTAACACACCCAGCCATGTCACCTGGGTGAGCAGCTGCTCAGAAGGAGCCAGGTCTAGGAGCAAGGCCTCCTCCATCCATAGGTCACCGGTCCACCTATGGCCAGACAGGGTAACCTGGGCATGGACAGCGAGGCCCACGGCTCATGAGGAGGGAGCGGAGATGGGTGGGCGGGCTGCAGGGCTGAGAACAGCACCCATGGAATAAGTTAAATAACAAAGCCCTAAAATCACTAGTAACAGCCTTACTGCCACCTCCGCCAGAGGCAGGTAGCGGCCCAAATGTAGTGCTTGGCGATAAAGAGGTGACCCCACTCCTAATCACCTGCAAAGAGGACTACAAAGGAATGTCAGTTATTGCTTTAAGGAACAAAGGTCTCCAGGACTTCTCTTTGTCTAAGGCATTAAGGTAAACTGAGTCCCAGTGATTCTCATTTAGAGCTCTGGACAAGTCTGTTAGCTCAGAGGCTCCACACACATCCCCTCCCAATGCCTCTCAGGACTGTGGTTGGTTTGAGGGGGAGTCGGGCAGAGTGGGGGCTAGAAGCTGGTGGGCACCAAGCTGTCTGGACACCCAGCCCGAGGGAAGGACGGCGTCACCCCACTCGGCTCTCCAGTGACGAGCATCCTGTGGCCTTCAGCGGCTCATGCAGTTCTGGACATCCACAAAGCCCAAGCGTTGCCTGCGTTTCCGCTGCTCTGTCATCTAGGATTAAACATGCCAACAGGTCCCATCAGATCACCCTGCACCCTCTCTCTGGGCACCGGCTCCCCAACAGGCCCAGCTGCTGCTTAGCCTTGGCAGCAGGCCAAGACCCCTCAGGGTGCCAAGAGGATGCCAGCCCCTACACCCATCTCTTCAATTAGCCTGTCACAAACCCCCGATTTGGTGCAGCTGGGAAGCCACCCAGCCTAAGAGGGGCTGCCTAACCCTCAATAACTGCCAGGTGGAGAGGAACTATCTCTGGGTAGGGGGTTGTTTGACAAGTGAAGGCGGCCTTAAACATCCCATCAACAGTGACTCCCTCGAGAGGCTCACTAGCAGCTGCCAGGAGTAAAAAACGAGCAAGGAGGTAGCCCCACACAACTACGCAGGTGTCTCCAGCACGGGCAGGGGTTCCAGCCCCAGTCTAGCTTTCCACAGGGCAGAGTGCTGGGAAGCTGCCTGCACATCCCAGTAACAGAGGCCAAGACAGGTGGGGTGCAGGCACGGCGTGACAGTACCAGCCTCTCCCCCACCTCATCCACGTGGCAGGAGGGACCCCAGCCTCAGTGATGGGCTAAGGCAGCCTAGTGCAGACCCCAGAGGTGGGCGAGGGTGGGGCAAGCGCGCACCTGCTCCTTGAGCTCGTTGAGCTGGGCGGTGAGGTGTGACACCAGCTTCATGGTGGAGCTGAGCTTATCCTGCAGAATCCGGATCTCGTTCTGCTCCCCCTCCCCTTCGTTGCTGACCAGGGACATGGCCCGCATCCGAGGGAACCAGTCCAGGTTCTTGTTCTGAAAAATAACATGAGGAAGGCTCTACTGAGGAGAGCAGGGTCGGGGGTGAACAGCCTCAGTCCGGGCTGCTCGTGTGATGAGGCTGCCGCCACGCCCGAACAGAACTTGCCAGGATGTGTCATGGGAAAGTCTGAGCTGCCCCAGGTCCTCCCAGGAGGGTGCACTGGAGCAGCAGTGAGGCCTCATGGCTGGGAGGGACCACCGTCTGTGACAGGCCAGCTTCCCCCAGACGACCTGGCACTGCATGTTCGCTCGCCTGACACCTGAGAGACTTCTGAACCAAGGCCATGACTCTCCTTCCTCTCTCTCTCCATGCCCTGCCCTGACCTATGCCCCACACCCGAGAAGATACAACTCAAGACAGCAAACCGAGGACGAGGCAGGCTCTGCTGAGCAAACTGCAGCGATGCATCTGAGAGGCAAAACCCACCATTTCCCAGGACAGGAGTAGGAAGCAGGAGGCCACCTAGGAGCTGCTCAGACCAGCAGATACACTTGTACTCAGATCAGTTCAAGATAGCGATCCACCGGACCCAAGCCGAGCTCTCCTTAATCCTTATTCACTGCCTTCCCTCCTTTCATTACTGTAAACGTGAATGGGTGGGATTCTTCCTAAATCTAACAGTTTCTTCAGGAACCATGCAAACTGAGGGAAGCCCAGAAAGGCTCCCTTGAGCAGCCTCCCAGATGGCTTCCTCATCGGGGTGTCTCCTGCTCCCACAGGCCGGGCAATAATAGCACTGATGTTCTCTTGGGCTGACGGGTCTGCCATGGGCTTTTCCCGGCACCACTGCTGGCAGGACTCCCAGGAGCAGAGGGCTGGCTCCAGCTGCTCCCTTGCCGGCCTCAACAAGTGTCTGCAGCTGTCCACACCCCTTCCCCTAGCCTCTGGGGTCAGTCGTGCAGACAGATGTGGCCATTCCTCTCTGGGATCGGGGAAAGCCTTGGCTTCTGGACCAGCTGCAACCGACTCCACCGGCGCCTGGCTGAGGCCCCGTGGAGCTGCTCACCGACCCCTCTGGCCCCCGCTCACACCTTGATCATCTGGGCCACATAGCTCTCGGGGCCCGTGTAGTCCGTCTTGTTCTTCACTCGGACCAGCACGATGAAGTACAGGTAGTTCCACATGTTGTGCTCCAGCTTTATGTGCTCCTCGAATGACACCGTCTTGTTGTCGAACTTGTCCCTCTCCAGACCTGAGGACACAGGGGCTGAGGGTGAGAAGCTTGGTAGGGACCACCTGGTGAGGGTCCTGCCTCATACACGGGAGGGGGAGCGAGGAGAAAGGCACGTGTTCCCCTCGTGTTAAGAGGGCTGATGAGCGCTTCCGGCAGCCCACTTGGGGCTATTTAGGTCACTGCTATTTAAAGCACCAGACAGCCTCAAAGATCCCGCCTCGACACAGCTGCAGCCCTCCCGCAGCAGCCGCAAGGACTGTGGGAGCAAACAGCCAAACTCTCATCCCAAGGAGGCAGGAGTAACTGGGTGAGGGATTTCTCCCACAGGTGACACCTGCCCCTTCGTCAGCCTAGCCGGGGAAGGGACAGCACCGCACTGAGATCAGGAACTGAGGCCACTTGCTGGGCTTCCGGTCTTCATCTGTAAACCGTGGGGTTGAAGAAACACCCTCTTCTAAACACAAGCCAGGTGAAGACCCCCCTAGTTCTGGGGAGAACTGGGACATCCAGGGAAAGTTCTCCAGTGGCTGCCGGGATTGCTCAGGCCATCACTGCCCTCAGATGACGTGCCATCAACAGCTTGCCCAGTCCCATCGGAGCCCCCCAAGCAGGAATCAGAGCTCACCACAAATGAAACAAGTCGTCTTGAGAATCTCCTCCTTCTTCTGCTTTTCACTGCGCAGATCGGCGAAGGTGTCAATGATCACCCCAAAGATGAGGTTCAGCACAATGATGATGACAATGAAGAAGAACAGGAGGTCGTAGACGACGCGCGCTGGGAACAGGGACTCCTGCAGGGGCAAGACAGGAAGGCTCGGCGCGCAGTCCCCCAGCTCGCCAGCAGGGGTCAGGGCCAGGTTAACGGTGCAGGCCCACCGAAGGAAACGGGGTCTCCAGGGACCTTGCACACCCGCAGCGTGGACTCAGCCCAACTCGAAGGAGCAAGAATGGCAGTCAGATGCCCTGAGTTGGATTAGAAGGGGCAGATGTAGACAGACTACGAACTAAAGCCCTGTAGGGATGCAGTGTGTGGAGCTAGGACGGCAGGTCTACACCTGTTGTTATCTGTTCCTTTTAGTTAGGTCTGAGCTAACACAGATTCACACAGTGTCCACCCACAGGACACCTAGCCTCACATATTCTAGAAACTGACTGGATGGAGAGAAAACTTCTCATTCCCATGTCCAGGGAATGGGACAGCCCGAGCCAACCACAGGCTCTCCTTGGGAAGCTGGCTGAGGCCCCCTTGTCCTCTTAGCCCCCAGCCGTAAGTCCCCCTCACCTCTCTGCCACAGGCCCTCCTACTGCCCCGCTGTATGGCCCTGCTGTAGGTTCCCGCCCCCACCCCCGCCAAGTGTGGTAGTGAAGGGCTTCCCTTCTGGCTCTGCAGTGAGCTGGTGGGGTGCCAGGGCACACTGGCGGAGATGTGATCTCAGCAGCAGATCACTGTAAATCAGCTGGGGGTGGAAGGGCAGGAGGGAAACGAAGGAGGGGGCTTTCAGCAGTGAAAGGCAAAACTGCCCTGGCTGTGACCGCAGGGCCAGACACTTCACAGCACAGATGGAGACAGGGACTTGGGCCGTGTGAACTGGGGTGGGCCGGGGGCTCACATCTTTGGAGGGCTTCCGGAGAATGTCGCCCACGCCGCCCCCGTTGCGCAACCCATGGTTCATGACAGTGACGATGCACATCAGCAGCGTGTCACAGGCCCGCTCCGTGCTGTCTGGATCCTCGTCATCTGTGAGCAGAGCGTGTGCTTGTACCTGGAACGCCTGGTACCTGGGCAGGCCTGCCTCGTCCTCCTCACATCCCCACCTGGCCGCCCACACACACGCGGCCCTCACCTTCCAGAACCTTGGGCACTGAGACATCGGAGACACAGTCCATCTTGTCCCTGTCACACGTGCCCACAAATGTGGTGGCACCATGTGGCATCTCGAGGGGAATGGCTGGAATGACACACACAAAGTCAACGAGCAGTCCAAGTGCCCAAGTAAATTACCCCCAGGAGGGCTGGCCCTGGCATTATGGCATGAGCCTTCGCCAACCCTGTCTGCTTCCCACTCTGACTACAAGTGAAGGGCTTCGAGTCCTGGCTCCACGGACTACACACGGGCAGGGAGGGCCTCTGATGCCAGCCTGGGGCACAGGCAGTCCCTGAAAATACTGAAGCAAGTAGTTCCTTACAGAGCTAGAGACCCAACATGCTCCCACACCTTTGCCAGTTACAGGATGGAGGGAGGCAGGGAAGTGTGAGTCAGGCCTCCCCACAAGCCAAGAGGAGGACCTGAAGCACGGGTCCTTTTGGGACAAGTGCTGCCAGGTCTTGGTCCAGATGCTGGTCACTTGGGCCAGCCAGACCTCATGGCCTTTACACCCGCTTCCAGAAGAAGGGCTGTCAGACCTTTGGAGTAGTTGCTGGGCAGCCGGTCAACCTCTAGGATGAAGTCATCTTTGAGGAAGAGGAAGCCCACGATGGAGAAGAGGTAGACCAGGATGAGAGCCAGCAGGGCGGTCAGCAGGATGGAGCGGCCATTGCGGGTCACACTCTTGATAACATTGAACAGTGTCTCCTCACGATAGATGAGGTCGAAGAGCTGCAGAGACAGGGATGGGGTGAGGGGCTGAGCCAGCCCCCTTGCTGGGGACCCACCAGACCCCTTCAGGGCTGCTCAAATCTAGGTTCTGCACAGCTTTCTCCAGTGGAGTTTACAAGGAAAACCAAGGCAATGAACCTGTCAGGGAGGCTTCTCTGCGGAACCTGGAACTCCAAGGCTACCAGAAGGGGAAGGTGTGAGGGGAGGAACAGGCAGGCGGATTCCAGCCTGGCCAGCTCTCCCAGCACACTTAACTACAACATCAGGAAATGCTCCAATATGTCTCATAACAATAATTAAAATAATCTCACAATTTCTTCAGTAGATGCTATTGTCCTAATTTTATATAGAGAAAAACTAAGACAGCTGTTTAAAAAAACCAACCAAAAAAAAACCCACCTCCCCAAGTTCCACAGCTAATAATGGCCAAGCTGGAATCCAAACCCAGGTGGTGAAAGTTTGTACTCTCCCTGATCTAGGGTGATGGACAGATGGCAGGGCCTGAGGGCTGAGAAGGGCCAGCTGGAGGACTCTGAACTCACTCCTCACAGTCCAGCACCAACAAGACTGGACAGACTGGTGCTGGGGAGCTGTGAGCAGATCCTGTGACCCCAAGCCGCCCAAGCCCCCCACCCGCCCGCCTCACCCGACGCAGCGGTCTCACCAGGATGCTGTAGAAGAGTTCATGGGCGAAGAGGCCCAGCACGCTAGTGAGAATGTAGCCCACGTGGTAGAGGAATTCCATGTCCATGACCATAGCCTTGTAACCACGAATGAAGGTGCCACGGTTGCCCACGAAGCTCACCACAAACACGATCTTGTTGGTCAGCTGAAGGCAGAGCACAGGGATCAGTGTCCACTGCCCAAGCCGAGTCTCCCTGAGCCCTGTCACCAGGCCCATGAAATGCTCAGCCTGGCCAGGGTGGCATTGATGAAAATGCTTTATTAAATACATGTGGGATCTTGAGTTTCAGAACAAAGGAGAAGCCCTTTGAGTTCCCCCCAGCTCCAGGAGGATACTGAGGTGCAAAAAAAGGGAAATGGGGACAGAGACCATCCCTGGCCTTTACCATGTCTTTGGGAAACAGTGCCCTTTGTCCAAGGCACTTTCTATGTGCCAGAAAATCATAATATGCAAATCCTTGCTATCTACAAAGGGAATAGTGAGCAGCTTAAGTGGATACAGCAGCCCTGAAGCTCGTGCCCCAAAATGACTCCTGCCTGCCTGAGTGCCAGCTGCCCCCAGCTGTTGAGGTAAGAAAGAGGCATGTAATGGCCCCAACTGCTGGTTATAATGAGCCTGAGATCCCAGCACAGGGAGGAGATAAGACAGACAGAGCAAGGAGTCTGGCTGCATATGTACAAGAGGGTGGTCTGGGGGTGGGGGCTCCCCACGAGCACTCACATTGAGGGCACCCAGGATGTTGAGCGTGGGCCCGATGCCCAGGTAGTAGATGGAGCGCAGGATGAGCGCCACGATGAGCGGGCGGATGCTGTAGCGCTTGGTGAACAGGGCCGCAATGGAGAAGCAAATGAGGATCCAGAACAGCAGTGAGATGAGCGGGGAGCCCAGCACGCCTAGGAGCCAGGGCAGGGGCTGAGCGGGCCTGCTGACGCCCACCACAGCTCCAGCCGGGCCGGAGAGGCCCCACATCGGCCAAAGAAGCCTTAGGCAGCCATTCTTCACTGGAAGCCTTCCCTCCTCAGTCCCTCCACCCACTGTCATCAAGTTACTTCTGACTCATAGTAACACTCTACTGGGTTTCTGAGGCAGAATAACCCACCAGCTGCTCTGTCAAGCAAGATGGGCAATCTCCTCCCGAGCAATTGACTGTCTCTGAAAACCCACTGCGGGATCAGCCATGAGTCAGTTCTGACTTAATGATGGATAACAACATATCCTTGCAGGAGGAGGCCGCCCATCCTTCCCCCATGACACAGCCGTTGAATTCAAACAGCTGACCTTTCAGTTAGCATGTAAGGAGGCAGCATTCTACCAGGTTCCCCATCAAGTTCCCAGATGCCTGGTTTGGGCCTCCTCCTCCCACCTGTATCTCCAGGCCTACATGGGAGGCCCTAGCCAGCGGCTGTCTGGAGGTGTTTGATTATATCATCTATATGTGTAAGTACATGTATGTTAATGTGTGTGAGCATTTATGTGTTATATATGTTACTACATATATAAGCATATGTGGGAGTTTATGAGGCATATGCATGTTAACGTGTCAGTATGAGTGTTTATGTGTGAGTGTGTTAATGTCACAGTATGTGAATGTATTTATGTGTGTATGTAAGTGTGTGTACATGCCCATGTGCTCTTCCAATTAGGCCAAGCTCAGCTTAATCTGCCCAATAGGTCTGTGTCTCCCTGGTCAGTGCAGATCCCAGAGGAAAGTGGATTGCACCCCTTCTCCCTACTCCACTTCAGGCCTGACTAGCCCCGAGGCTCGACCCTCACCTGGGGTGTGGCAGACCCCAAGCCCAGCCCCTACCTGTGGCCCGGTCTCCTTACCTGTGGATGCGCCTTCGACGTAGGGGTAGAAGAAGGCGATGATGATATTGATAAAAACAGCCAGGTTGAAGGAGATGCTCCCCCACAGGGTCATGCGGCGGGAGAACCAGTAGATCAGCGGCATACCTGGGCGGAGGATGGTCAAGAGCTATTAGTAACACCCTCTGTCCACCAGTTCAGGCCCCACTGCCCTCACTTGCCCAGGTCCCATCTCCAAAAGGAAATGCATTTACAAGATCCCTTCTCTGGGGGTGCAAGTGTGAGGGGCTGCAATGGTGGGCTTTCTGGCATGCACCAGAGGGGCCACAGTGAGTAACTGCAGGAGCCCGCCCTCCACGCCACCCAGGGTCCTTACTTCGGAGCTTCCGCTGCCACTCCATCTCGTTGTGCAGGAAGGAGGACTGGTCGAAGAAGTCGCTCACTTTGCTGCCCTGTTCGTCCTGCTCGGTGGTGGTGAAGAGCCGGTGCTTGGTCTCCTCCGTCAGGAACTGGCAGATGCCAGGCACCGGGAACACAATCTGCTCCATGCTGCGGTCCTGCCGCACGATCTGGACACGCAGCAGTGTCACGCTGGCTCACACAGTCCCTCGCTCACCCCCACCCCTGCTGCCCCCGGACCCCACCTCAATCTGGGATGTGTGATTTTCATAGTAGGCCAGTGGGTCCTCCTCCTCCTCCTGTGCAGGCGCAGACGACTTGAGCATCTGAGACAACTGCTTGTTGTTGAGGCTGAGCTGTAAGGAGAGAGCTGAGGTCAGGCCAGCAGCACAGCTCCAAAGTCCAGCCCCGTCCCAGGACCTAAACTCCTCCCTGAGTTCTGGGTTTGATCCCTGGCCAAGATTCTAGCTGATCCCTCAGTTCTCAGCTGAGTCCACATCCTGGCCTACTGCTCACAGCCCTGACCCCAGATATCTGGCCTCCCAGCCTCCTACCAGGCCCTAGGTCGAAGCCCCACCCCCTGCCCAGCTTTGCTCATAGACACTCACCATGGAAGAGATGCCCTCGGCCTCCTCCTCTTGGATGCGTTTCACTGGCTTCAGCAGGTGCTGTAGCTGTTTGTTATGCCTGGAGAGCTGAGTGAGGGGGCGGAGCAGCCATGAGGGGCGTGGCCTCGGGCTGTGGGCGGGGAATGGGCGGGGCCGCGGGGTGGGGCAGATACCTGCAAGGCCAGGATGTAGATGTTGTGGCCCACTTCCCGTGGGCTCACCTCTGAGTTCTCCCGCTCCTCCTCCTGCAGGTAGGCCTTCTTGATGACGTCCACCTGGCAGGACAGCGCTTGCTCTAACCACCTCTCTGGGGAGCGGCCCACCCACATGGTGGTGCCTTCCCAGCGCCCACCAGCCCAGCCTCACCAGCTCCTGGGGCCGAAGGCTGATGAGGATGCGCTCAGCGTTTTCACTGTCATGCCGGCTCTCCATCAGGGCCAGGAGCAGCTTGGAGGCATTGTCCTGAGGGCGAGTGGTGGCCACAGCCTAAGAATCCTACTATACCTGATACTATGCTATTACAGCTCCCTCTGGCCCCTCAGCTGCACCCCCATCCAGAGTTTGCTGATGTCTGCACAGCCAGCCTCCTGCCTGTCTCCCCACCCACAGCCCTGCCTTCACTCTGCCATGCTGCAGGCACCTGCAGCTCCCCAGACTGCTAACAGGCAAAGGAGGCCCTCCGGTAAGCCAGAGCTCTCTGGAGTTGAGGCAACATCCAGCGGGGTTTGCTCATGTACTCACTCTTGCGGACACATAATGATGTGCTTAGTCTACGTGCAACCTGCACACGTTGCCACATGCATCACTGCACACACAGCACATGATGCCCACCTCACACACACAACAGCACACGATCACACGCACGCCCGGCAGGCTTCACAGACCCACCTTGAGCTGCAGCACCAAGTCCACGCGGTACTTGCACAGGGGGCTGATGTCATTGAGAATCAGCGCTGTGATGATGTCTATGCCATTGGACTCGTGTGTCACGATGCAGGTCTGGCAGGGGCGATGGGGGACATGGTGCCCAGGGTCCCTCAGGCTGGCGACCGCTCTGGAGGCCCCCAGCCCAAGCCCCGCCCCCCATTCATCCACCTCTGCCCTCCTGGCTGCCGTTGCCATCGCTGCTCACCTGGTTCTCATGGCAGGGGCCCTGGCAGTACTCGGTGAGGGTCTCCAGTGTCTGGATGACGAGGCCCACGTTGTCCTCGTTGATGTAGAGCCCCAGCAGCCCCAGGCCCCCTGTGGTACTGCCACACATGATGTCCAGGAACTGCAGCGTCTCACACACCAGGTTGTAGTTTGTCTTGTTGTTCTGACAGCGCAGGAAGTTCTATGGGGCACAGGAGAGGTGGGGGTAAAGAGGCGAGCCCACCAGGACCTGTGTCTGCATGGCTAGGGGATCACCAGCCACGGTGCTGGTGCCCCGACTGGATGGCAGGGTGCGGCCGCACGCCGGCTGGTGGTGGGAGCCGGGTGAGGAACCCCGGTGCTCACCTGCAGGTCCCGGTTGTGGTTCTCGCACAGCAGCTGCAAGAAGCGCAGGATGGGCTGCATGATGAGCACCGACGTGCCCATCTCGTTGCTCTGCACGCGCTCGCCCACCTCGTGCCCCCGGTGCAGGCTGGGGCCCAGCGAATAGCGGGAGGAGGAGCTAGGCATGGAGAAGGAGGCTACACGGCCTGCGAGACAAGGCTCGGTGAGGCCAGCCTCACCCAGCAGTCCCACCTCCTCGTGTCTGGTGCCCACCGATCCCTGCCCATGCCTTTGGCCTGTCACCCCCGGCCCTGCACCCCCGTGGCCCCATGCCCTGACCTTTGGTGGTGGGGTCTGGTTCTCGCTCCTCACGAGGCTGGGTGCCCAAGTCGCTCATGTTGACTGTGACCGTGGACTTGGTCTCCTGCTGGGCCCGCTTCATGCGGTCATGCAGCACCTTGAAGAAGCGCTCGGACTTCTTGTCACTCGTCATTAGGTTATAGAAGGATTTCTGGGAAAGAGATGGAGAAGGGATATGGTGGGACAGCGTTAACACTGGGCCTAAACCCTGTATTTCAGGGACAACGATGAAGGCAGACTAGGCCCCAGACACACCCAAAACAGATGAAATTCAGGTAGAGATACCCCTGTAACTTGGACTGGGGAAGAAGGGCCTGGGGAGCAAACTGCTGGAGGGAACTCTGCACCCTCCAGCCTCCTGACCAGTCTGTGTCTGCATTCATCCATCTTCCACAGGCAGCCAGAGGGATTCCCCTCAAGTCTAAGTCATGCTTCTCCTGCTCAAAATGCTGCAGTGGTTCCCAAGTCACCCAGAGGAAAAGGCGAATCTCACTGAGCCTGAGAGGCCACATGTCAACTATTCTCTCTCAATCCCATGCCACACCCCCGGCCTCCAGTTACCCTCACCACTCCAGCCACTTCCCCTTCACAGCCTCTGCACTAGCCGCTACTCGACCTGGGCTCTCCTCCCCTGTGTGTCCACAGCCTCACCTCCTCCTTTCAGCTCTTCGCTCAAATGCTCTCCGCTCAGAGCTTTCCTGGTCACTGAGTTCCAAACAACCCTACCCCAGCACCCCTCAGGCCCCTTGCCAGTTATCATGCCCAGCATACTCTCTGTACATGTGGATTATGTCTATGGGGTAACACACCCCTCTACTGAGATGGGTCTCTACTGTTGACTGCTGAAGCCTCAGTGTCGAGAACACTGCCAGGCTCACGGTAGGTGCTGTGTGTGGAATCATGGGGCAATACAGCAATCAGAGAGGGTTTTTTGGAGGAGAAAGACATTGCATGAAGGACCAAAGCTGAAGATGGTAATGGTTGTTATGTACCACTGAGTCAAAAACAACTCATAGTTGACCCTTCCTGGTTTTGGGAGATTTCTCATCTTTCTCCCTTGGAGCAGCTGGTAGATTCGAACCACATGCCTTTGAGTTGGCAGGGCTACTCCTTACCTATTAGGCCACGAGAGCTAAGGAAGATGTGAAAAATGAGGGAAGGACGCCTGAGCAGAGGCTAAAAGGCCACAATGGGAGGCAGGACAGTGGAGACAAAGGTTCAGGTCAGCCTGGAGCAGAGCAGAGGGAGGTGTAGAGGTGTGCTGGGATGGTGACAAGGGGCAGTGTGTATGTGAGAGACCACGGCCACCAATAATGGGTAGCTGGGACTTATACCTGTACCCCAGCCCTGTGACCATGTCCCTGTGACCTCAGAGGCTTACACCTTTTAAACAGGAAGTGCACAGCTAAGGCATGTGAGCACCTGGCACCCCAACTCACCTGGATCTCGGTGTTGCCACCATCCAGCAGGCGGATGGCCAGGCCGATGCTCTCCTGGAAGATCTTCTCATTCTTGGTGCTGGTGATGAGGTCGCACACCAGCTTGGTGGCCCCCTCCTTGTCCAGCCGGCACTGCGTGGCCGCGATCGCTGACCAGTCCTGGTCCAGACCTGGAATGGCAGGGAAATCACTTGAGTGGGCCTCGTGTGGAAGGAGAGCAGAAGGGCCTGCATGAAAGGCCACCCAGACACACAGCAGAGGAGGGAAGGACTGACCGACACTCATGGGATCTGGTAAGTCCCCTCTGGAGCTGGACTTCCGGTTCTGGAGATAGTTCTGCAGCAGCATCTTTCTCAGCTGGTTGCCCTGTGGGAGAATGGGAGTGAGGCGACAGCAGACAACGGGCATCAAGTACTGGCCAGCCACATAGACACAGCTGAGTTATAACAACTAGGCTATCAGCCCTGGTCCTGAGCTCCTGGACCTCCTGGTCTGGCCTGCCAGGCGTCCAGCCTGCAGGGACACTCACCCGGTCCCCATACTTGGTTTTCTTGAGCAGCATTTGCTGCAGGGTCCGCAGCACCTTGATGCACAGCTTCTCCTCCGACTCCATGAGGTCCTTTGTATGCTGGATCAGTCTGGGTGGGCAGAGAGGACCTACTCAAGGCTGCTCCCCCCTGGCTCCTTCCCAAAGGTGGGCAGCACAAACCCTCTAACCAGACCCCGCCCACCCAGCCAGGCACACGCACTTGGACAGGAAGCCCCCACTCTCACAGCGCTGGAAGGCCTCACTGCCCTCCAGGAAGAGCAGCTCGGGCCAGTGCAGCACGTCCACCAGCACGGACAGCTCGGCCTGCACCAGGGGCTTCAGTCGCTCCTCCAGAGCCGTGATGATGTCCTGGGGGGAAGGAAAGGGTCACCACCTCAGGTGCAGGGCAGGCCATTGAAGCCTGAGAGAGATCCAGGGCTTGGCCCCTAAGCTTCCCCTGCCTAAGCAGCAAGGAGTCCCATGAGCCCTGTGCCTGGCCTCCAGAGAAAAGCAGGTGCCTCTGTGTAAGTTGGGGGAAAGTGTCTCTTTTCCCAGAGACCCTAGCGAAGCAGATGCTTCAGGCTCCGGCTTTTCTCCCAGCCCTTCCAACTGTTCTGTGTGACCTTGGGCACACTGCATGCCCTCTCTGGGCTCGGACTCTGACTGGTAAGAATAGTAATCCCACCCATCCCCTCCAGAGCTGATGAGACAGGGGGCAGGAATGTGTGGCACAAACTGGAAAGCACTGAAAGGTGAAAGGTGAAGGGTGAAAGGTGGCCCTAACCTCCTTCAGGAGTCCTACTAGTAATGTAGCAAGGGCTCTGGGCTGCTCCCAGCTCCCCCTACATGATGCGTCTCAGCCCACTGCTCTAGGGCCTGCCCTCAACAGTCTCTGGAGAGGGAACAAGTGAGCAGGCCGTTCCTGAGAAGGTGTGGGCAGTGCAGGGAGGTGTGGGCACTGCAGGAGTGGGAAGCTGAACGTGCAGTACAAGGAAGGAGCTGGCAATGCACCCACCTGCAGCTTCTCAATGATGTTCTTATAGTCCCACTGGTTGGCAGTGGGGGTGACTCGCGGGAAAGTGCGTGTGGCTGATTTATAGTTGGATGCGTTCCGCTGGGCAGCCACGGCACAGCTGGCCCCGCTGCTGAGCAGTGAGCTGATGTGGGCGTCCAGGTCCATGGGCAGCAAAATGGCCCGACCCTTGGCTGGATGGGGAGAGGGGTAGTGCTGAAAGGCGGATGTAGGCGGTCAGCTGGCCAGAGGACCAAGCTCAAGGCTGCCAAACTGGGGTCAAATAAATTTGTCTGAAGTCTTAGGGTGCAGTGATAGGGACCCTACCCTGGCCTGTTCGTAAAAGTCTGTGAAGATGGCCTTCTTCCCAGTTTGGGGTAAAAAGAGGGAAGCTTGCCTCTTGGAGTCTGAATGATACCGTTAATGTGTAACTCAAAGACTGGTAATTCTATACCACCCCAAGATGCCTTGGAAGAAAGACCTGGCAAACTATTAAAAAATTAAGTCAGCCATTATAAACTCTACAGAGCAGTCTTACTCCAGAACTGGCTCAAAGGCAACTAGTTTCTGTGTCTTGGTTCCATCCAGGCTCCACACTGATGCCAGCGCTCCCTCCCTCATTCCTCCACCTCTTCCCCCTAAACATCTACAAGCCTTCCTTTTTGCCTGACACCATCTGTAAGCAACAAAACCCCTCTGTTTGAAGAACGCCCACCCAACACTAGCCAGCATCAGTGTGCGCCTCCAGGGAACTAACTCAGTAGAGAAAACTGCTTCTTTCAGTCATCTCAGTCACCGAGATGCCAGCTGGACATCAAGAGGGACTTACAGAGACCTCCCCCCCCGGAGCAAGTGATGGGCCAGCTTAGGGACCTGGTCTGGCTTTGAGGGCAGGCATCCCTGTGTGAAGGGAGGAGCGGGGGTGTTGGGAGCTGGCCCCGCCCCCGGCACACTCACCCACCATGGCGAGGGTCCGGATGCAGGCCTCCACGGAGCCCTTGTGCTGCTGCTGCAGCCATGGACACTCCAGCAGCCGCGTGGTAGACTGCAGCAGCTGCACCACAATCGTCTGGTGTGTCTGGAAGAGGCCATACAACCAATGTGGCAGCCAGGCTCACCTTACCCTGGGCAGCCCACCAGGCCGGATGGCCTGCCCTTACATGGGGTAGAAGGGAAAAAGACTACACTAGCCACCACGTGCCTCTGTGTCAGTTGGGAAAAGTGCCTTCTTTCCCAGAATTCTGCAGTGCACAAACTAGCCAACTGCACTTGGCAGCCCTGGGAGTGATGCCCCTGAAGCCATAACCCTGTGGTTTAAACTAATGTTGTGAAGCAGTGATATATTTCCATGGTTCAAAAGTCAAAAAGATTGTCTAAAAAAGACTCATCTCACCCTTTGCCCCCAAGCCCCACACCCTGCCCTGGGATGATGTGAGGTGGAGAAAACAGAAATGAGACTAGAATCCTGTGGTACAAAAAGGGGTTCTAGAAACACATGTGTCATAATAAGCCCACCTCTTGGTGGCTGCACAACATGGTGAACATAATGAATGGCACAGATACGCGCACACACAGACAGCTGAATTGACAAATGTTTTGTTGTGTATATGCTACCACAATAAACATGAAAAAGTAAAATAAACAAACCCACCTTTGTCAAGAAAGTAGAAACCAATGTTCTTCTTTATTATTTTCGTGTATGTGGTAAAAATGTACACAATACTACATTCACCAATTCAACAAGTTCTACCTGGATAATTCAGAGACGTTAACGCCATTCCTCACGTGGGACCCCTCATTCTGCTGAAGGCCCTCCCCAGCTCCTCAGCCCAAGGGAGCTCCTTCACTTGGCTCCTTGTGTGTCCTTCATGGACACAGTACAGCAGGGTCCTTCCTTGGGGAACTCAGCCTCCCTTCCATTCTAAGAGTCTAGACGAGGGAACTGTCTCAAGTCAGGAAGCTGGGAACTGACTGCGAGACCATGACCCTCCCTTCAGTGGTTCGAGTCAGACGTGTGTTGACTAGACCTGGAGCTTTTCCACATCGTCAAGCACAATGTGAGGAGAGGCGGTCTTTTAACTATTTCCATTTCAGGGATGCTCTATGATCAGCTACACAAGCTGCCAGTGAGTCAGGGTGACTTATGTGAGCCAGGGAACTGTGCTCGCCGGGCTTTCCACAGCTGATCTCTCACCAGGCCTTTCTTCCACGGCACCTCTGGAGGACTCACACTACCAACCTTTCAGTTAGCAGCTGCGCACATCAACCACTCACACCACACAGGGATTCCCATGACCAATTCAGATTCACACACTCATTGCCATTGACTCGGAAATGATTCAGCTGACCCTCCCCTGGGTTTTCAGAAGTTATAAATCACACAAAAGACTGTCCACCTTTCTCCCCCTGTGCTGCTGATGGATTCAAATCACCAGAGAGGTGCCGCCTTTCAGGGTAAACAGGGTAACTTCCTGCAGATTATGCCACCAGCGCTCCCTTGGACCAATCACCCCAAGCCAAAGATCTCTGGAATCAGACTGTTCAGGTTACATACACACCCACACTGTCAGTTTAAGGACTAAGGTGCGTCTGATTCAGACCACAGTCTTTCCAATCACTCGCTATGCATCTGAGAGCTGGACAATGAATAAGGATGACAGGAAAAGAATTGATGCCTTTGATCTGTGATGCTGGAGACGGGCGCTGAACATCCCATACAGCCAGGAGAACAGATACGTTTTAGAAATGGTGCAGCCAGAGTGCAATTTGGAGGCAAGAATGACAAGGCTTTGCCTCACCTACTTTGGACATGTTGCTAGGAGGTGGAGATTCCTTGGAGAAGGACATGATGCTGGGAAGGGTGGAGGGTTGGCGAAGGAGAAGACCCTCAACCATATGGATTGACAGTGACTATTGCAATTGTCTCCTGTGTGTCGGGAAGTGTGAGGACCGTGCAGGATACAAGAGGGTTCAGATCCTTTGTTCACAGGGTTGCTATGAGTCATACTCAACTCGACAGCACCTAACAACAAACCACTGTCTCTGGCGATTAAGTGCTGCCACTTGTCCCTTGCACCCTTGGTTCTAACATGCCCACTGAACTTAGTAGTTCCTGTTTGATGGTACAGTTCCTGCTGTAATCCTGACCTACAGAAACTGTAAAATAAGAACTATAACTCCAAGCTGCAAAACTTGAGAACAATTTGTTACACAGCACAGGTAACTAGTACACTTGCCTATCCTTCTGCAGTTTCTTTAGGAAGCACAAGCAAATATGAATATATGTTCGAATTTCCCCCTTCCCTACAGAAAAGCAAGGAACCCTAGTGGCATAGTACGTTCAGAGCCAGGCTGCTAACAGAAAGATCTGTAGAAGAAAGATGGGCAGTCTCCCTCTGTAAAGATCTTCAGCCTTCAAAACCTGATGGAAGGACATCACGAGTAGCCATCAACTAGAGAACAGTGGGTTAGTTTTAATTTTCTTGTTTGGTTTTTTGTTGTTGTTGATTTTTAATGGAAGCAGGCCAGGCCAGCCACTGTTAGGGCAAACAGAGCTCACCTGCAGGGAGGTGCTGTTCTCAGAGAAGGGCGAGCTGAAGAAGGCATTGATGGTGTCCAGCACGACGGTCAGCACGTACTTTTCCAGGGTGGGGTCAGCCAGGCGCTTCTCCCGCTTACTGCAGACCTGATGTAGATGCCTGGGTGAGCCAACACACACGACCGTCCTACCGCTACCTCCTGGGAGGCTGTCCATCCCTGCACACCACACAGCTCTGCCCCCCACCACCCAGCCCTGTCTCTGGCCTGCACAGCCCTGCCTCCGGATACAGCCCTGACTGCAGGCTGCATAGCCTTGGCTGCCCACACAGCCATGCCTCCTGGCTGCACAGCCCTGCTTCCCAGCTACAGAGCACTCCTCCAGGCTGCATAGCCCTCACTCCCTGCACAGTCCTGCCTACCCACACAGCCCAGCCTCCCGCCTGATTTCCAGCTGCACAGCCCTGCATCCAGCCCCACAGCTGCACAGCCCTGCATCCAGCCTCACAAAGCCCTGCCTCCCGGCTGCACAGCCCTGCT